AGTTTTGCAAAGAGAGAAACAAGTGATAATCGGAGGGTGCTAGGTCTGGGGAGTATGGTGGATGCGACAGAATTTCCCAGTCCAGCTCTGCGATTTTCTGACGTGTCGCCAAAGCAGCATGTGGTCTGGCATTATCATCGGTAGCCATGTTTTCATGATCGCGTCTCACTTAATAATGACATGAGACATCTTTGTTTTAGTTTATTTAGGAGAGTACATGTGTGTAAATGCAATGATAAAGAGAGGTAGTCATATATGTCTCAAATCAACATGTGCATATGGATTGAAACTTGAAGTGACACTATCTGACAGAACTTTCTGGTAGACCTAATATTATGCGTTCTTTCCAACCTCATGTTTTCAAGAGGCCAGTTTAAATCCATTGTTTTTATAAATATTGCGATTTGTAACATTGATTTAAATCGTTGCAGTTTGTTGTTAACGGACTTTTTAACATGTTCTAATTATATTTTGTTTCTATTGTAATATTTCCTTAACACACCAGTTCTGCGTAACAGGTTTATACAATAAATGATGAATCAAAACATATTATGATATGTGGAGTACCAAAGCTTCAATTAGGAGAAGAGGTAAAGAAGCTTTTTGAGCCATATGGAGATATAAAAAAGATTCATGTAGTAACCGACTATCCCACAGAAGAATTTACAGAAGCTTATTACATGCAATATGCACGTATACAGAGTGCAAGGTTTATATTTGTTTTATTTTGCTGTTTCTGCTTAATTTAATGTTTATTACAAAACTTTTTTTCTTAACTATGTTTATAAACGGTATTATGCAGAATAGCAAAACGGTTTATTGATGGTAAAAATTTTTATGGAGGCTCGTTACACGTATTTTATGTACCTGAAGTGGAAACTGTAGCTGAAACTAAAGCTAAGCTTGCTCAACGTAGTAGAGAAGTAACTATACGCATAAAGAGAAATCAAAAAGATGCATTGAATCCCAACACAGATAAATTTGTTCCTGAGTATGTTATGAAACTGGTGCTCTATAGAAATTCATAGATTAATAGATAATTCATCAAGTATAAAATTGAATTTTAGGGAGCAATATCATAGAAAGAAGAGGACACCAGCATTACCATTAACGGAAGAACGTTTAATTAAACATTATCCTGGTGAAACATTAACTTCTATTTATAATGGTATTCCACAAAACATAGATCCAAGACCTGTATCTGAACCTAGTTTACCTTCAACATCAAGCAGTTATCAAGACAATCAATTTACATCTGACATACCACAAGCTCCGTATAATATAAATGAAGCTATCATTCAAGCAACAACAAGCAATGAAAAGTTGTCAAAGTTTGATAGTGTAAAAAATAAGAAGAGGAATTACAAAGGAAAGCCTATTGATTGTAATATAAAAAACAAAGTAGTAAGACCCTCAATTGTCAACACAAGCACTATAATAAATTGGGACTCCTCTGACAAAAAGGTTTTCAGTAATCCCAAAAAAGTCGACAGCAACATAACAATTAAATTGATTTCGAAAGATGATAATAATAAGAAGAGGATTGTAATAAAAGATCCTAAGTAAGTAACTGTTAATATTAAATTCGATATATGAATTCGCTAATCTTAAAATATTTTTTCAGTGTCTCCAAATTGGTACAACCAAGCAAAAAACTTCAACTTTCCATACAAGAAGCCAAATCCAGGATACGAGTGGCAATGCAAGCAAAAGAATCTGATATTTTGTTAGTAGCATAAGATAATAGTAATAATAATAAGTCAATTTGTTATAAAATTTATTATCTTTTGTTATAAAATTTATTATATTTTGTTAGTAGCATAAGATAATAGTAATAATAATAAGCCAATTTGTTATAAAATTTATTATCATTATACAAATAGTAGCATTATTTCCGATTTTTATTACATTTCCGCTGCAAAACACAATTATTTTTTACAAAGATCCAAGGAATGTCTATATTTTAAAAAAATTATATCAACGATTCTAACAATAATAACTATCAAATAATAACTGTTGAGTCTGGATCCCATTCTATACCTCTTGATTTATACTTCGTTATATATTTGTGTGGCGATGAATTCTCCTGTGAAACTCTAGACTTCATAATTTTATTTCTAATTACCTGTTGCCCATTGTTTGAACGATTAGCAAGAGGGGTTCGAGTCTGAAAACAAAAATCATTAATATTCTTTTCAGTCCAATGCAATTGGTAATATATTAAATACCTTAGTATTTTCGCTTCCATTTTTATCATTATAATTGAAAATTTTCTTTTCATCTGTTGTAATTTTGGCTTCTGATTTTAAGGCCTTTTTTTTCATTCTAGTTACATCTATCCTTTTTTTATTTATTTCACATTTAGATAATTTTAGTGACAGTGCATCTTTTGCAATACTATCGTCGTCAAACGTTATGATGACTTCTTGTTTCGGCAATTGTGACATTTTCTCATCGACATGTACATCTTGTGTTTTAGTTGAATCAGATTCAGTGGGATTATCCAATACTAATGAATCTCTCCATATTTTGATTGTATCGCTACCAGTAATTTCCTTATGTTGCATGTTTTTTTTAACGTCTTCATCATTGCAACCATCTGAAGTTATTTTATTTTCATCTTCACGCCCACTGTCCGTTTGTGTTTCTCCTGTGATAAATATTTACATATCAATTCAAATCCTTTAAACTTCACTACTAGTTATGCTACAAATTAATCAATAAGAGTAATATCCTCACCATAATCTGTCTCAGTTTTAGGGGAATAATATGAACTTGAGTCAGTGTCATTTAATCTACTATCAACTTCATTAATGAACAAATTTGAAGTTATTATTTTACATGCAGCTAAATCAGGTAAAGCTTGTATTTCAGGTATGTTAAACTGTGAGGAAGTTTCACAGTATGAAAACTTTGGATAAAGGACATCTGCCTCGTAACTTCCACGTCTTAACTTATCTTCTTTGTGTCTAGCTAGTAGAAGTTCCATAGATTTTGGTCTTAACATCGGTGTTCTATCAAAATCTGCAGCTGGTGATCTAGGGTCAATGCCTAAGACACTGTATCGTTCTTCCTCTATTGGCAGAAATATTGTTTTCTTCATTGAGCTATTTATTGTTGGTGTCAATTGCATTTCTGAAGTTTTGAAATCCTAAAAATAACTTAATTAATTTTGAAATCTTAATAAAATAATACAAGTCTTATAAGATTAATATACTTTGTACAATGTATAATTTACATCTAAATTTTGTAAGTTTGCATCATCCATTTTTGGAGCAGATTTTTTTGGTGATAACAATAGCAGTGTATCTATATCTGTTTCTAAGTATGGTTTGCATTGTAAGTGCTTTGGAATTGCGGAAAGTGTTCTTCTGTATAATCTCTCAGAAGTGGAATATACCTACGAATATTATTTTAACATTGTTTAATGTATTAAACAGTGCTGGGAGAATTTTATTTAAATGCTATAATCAAAGAATTACCTCTATTGGTGTTCGATCAATACCACTTGTCACTGATCTGGGATCTATAGACAATGTTTTTTGTGCTACTGGAGTATATACATTATTATCCACAGTTTCTTCATCTGTAGAAGTAGGCTGTGTTATTGTTTCTTCTTTCTCGGTCTCAGTATTATGGAAAAAATATTTGTTTATATAATTCCCCATTATTATTGCAACTTCTTGATATATTTTAGTGTCCTGTAATTTCCAGTACAAGAACAATGTAGAAGGTATTAAAATGTAAGACATATTTCTCAACAGTCGAAATTATTTATACTTAAATTTACCTTACTTAAAAAAGATTGTAAAAGTCTTCAGATGAAACCGTTGGCAGTGTTACATGCCGTATCTACTACATAAATACAAACCAAACGAGTTCAAGTAATGAGTGATCAACGAGGAATGAAATGACTGACCGACGACCTGTCCTGGTCGTTTAAAACTTAAAACGACTCAACTTTGAAAATTGAAAATTAAACTGAAGAACTGATGAAGCGCTACCAACATAGGTACATCACCCGTCTGAAGTGGCTCACGATAGTAACCAATATTGATAAAATATAGCTATAAAAATTGCTCTAACTCAATGTGTGATGACTTAAACAATTGCTGTTCAATTGCCCATTATTGATCTGTAATTGCTCCGTCGTAGTTTTATAAAAAGTTTCAAAAAATCTTCTTTGCGGCGACTAGGGACTTTCATGAAAAATTGGAGACTTTTAATAATACTAAATTTCTGAAATAATACACGAAACGGGCTGTACGAGTTATCATAGAATTGCTCTTTAATTGCCGATTGTGCTCCAAAAATGCTCTGGTTTTTGTCCCTGCACAGGGAAACCTGTTGGGATCTATCCTTCACCATCCGATATGCCATCTGTCTACTGTGTATACACGGACTGCACAATAGTGGGTTTATACGTTTATACTGGTTTATACAATTCAATTGTCCGTTAGAGCAACTAAAAGCAACTTAATATTTATTTCAAATAATGAATATTATGGAAGAGAGAATAAAAAAATGGATTTTGTTAATTCAGACAGAAGAATTGGACGAAGTAATAGAAGACATTCAGGTCGGTTATATTCAATGAAAGAAATTTGAAATACATGTTTAACATAGTCCGTTTTCTTATTAATGAAATTTTGTTAAACTTTCTTAATGATTGATTCAAATTTTTTCAGATAAGCATTTGTCCAGGCCTAATTAATAATGTAAGCAAATATGTTTTTAAACTGTTGTTACATTTATCACACACTGCGGACAAATGCTGCAAACAGAACTGTGCTATTGGCATGCAGATTTACAGATTGACTTGTTTGTTATGTCAAAATCTGATCAAAATACCTGACAACAATAAATTTGTTTGCAGCTTATATCATATAGTTCGTTGTTTATTAACTGTGCATATGTATAAGGAAGCATACAAGGTTTGTTGTTTTATAAACACAGAAACTCTATGCTCTTCTGATTCGAGTGTGAACAATATACTAGTAAAAATAGATAATTTATGGCATAATTCTGTGAATAATGCATGTAATCTATTAGAAAGAAATATTTTAAATATCAAGTATTATTATGAACTACAAAAGATTATAAAACTTGAATTGAAACTAATACAAACAATATATAAAAATTATACTAAACGTGTACTTTCGGAGATAAGTTCATATCTAGATAAAATAGCATTAATAAGTAAAAAGTCGAACATCTGTTTCATGGAATTTTGTGTGTTTGCGAGTGAATATCTGAGACAAACTAAACTGTTTCTAAAGGAAGATGACAAACATGTTATAACTCGTTACATGCTTCTCATAATGAGCAAAATAGTGTGTGAGAATGTTAATGAACAAAATCTGGATTTTGTGATAAACACTTTAGATAATTTAAGCAAACACTTCAAAATGGTTCTAAAAGAAGACAAGGAATGCTATGAATGCTACAAATTGCTTGAATCATTTTGTATGGCAGCTGTAAAACCAAACAACTGTTTAGTAAAAAATGATGCCAACAGTATTCATGATTGCTGCTACAGTTATGAAAGAATTGCAAAGAAATATGATTACTTAGGATCTATTAAATGGCTTACATTCGGTATTGTTCAGATTCTAGAGTCATTATTTCTATATTGGGAAACATGTATAAAAACGGGAAACAAATCATTTTTAGAAAAAGGTATATTATTAGAGATTATGAACTTGGTTGTTTGTACAAGTAAATACTTTATGCAACAGACATGTAATAAGTGCAAGTCTTGCCAAAGTAAAGAGTGTATGATCAGAAATGACATATACAATGTGGTGGTAATAAAAGCCAGATGTGTCAATTTAATTAGCAAACTCTCTGCGGATGATTTATCCAAGGACATGTATAGTCTTGCGCAAAATTTCTTAGAGCAGAATGTAGCTCACATTTATGAAATGAAACAGTGTAACTGCATGACCTGGCCAATGCTGTGGTCCACGAATGGTGCTTTGATTTATAATTTAGGCATAATGGCAGGGAGTTTCTATGAAGAAAGCGTATCTCTGCTTTCTTTACTATGCACTTCCATCAAAGAGTTCGAAGGTATTCAACAGAAATCTAAATATATTAGTCTTCAAAATCCCATATGTACCACATTGCATAGACTATCTTCTCTTCACTTTAATCATGGTATGTACAGAGAAGCCATGACTGCGTCAGCATTAAATGCTCTATTAAGTTATAATGATCCTGAATCGAAAGCGTTTCGTATGTGGGCAAATATTAAACATAAATCCATAACTAATAAGAAAATAATGGAAATGACCATAATATCTTGTTTGAAATCGGATGGGTCAATTATAGAACAATTAGGATTGTCTATTAAATTGTCGCAGTACGATCTCATTGAAATATGTTTAAGAGAAGCAAGAAGTTTACAAGAAGCAAAGGTTAATCTTTCCGGCGCCATTTGCAAAGTTTTGGACGAAATGTTAATGTTAAAAGCAACTCCAATATATTACGCTCGTGTCGTTCAAATGTTAGTATATCATTTGCTACATTTCGATTACAATGAGAACACTTTAGACTACCTAAAGCAAGCTATTTCCAATTTAAAACAGATAAAGTCGAGTAATTATGTTTTATGCTTACAAGCAAATTTGGAATTTTATATCTTTGTGGCACACTTGCATGTTGCCAATAAAAAGACTGAAATAGAAATGGAAAATACGACATTCGCGTTGTATGCTCCAAAGATATCGGAAATGGCAGAAAATGACACCCATGATGTTGTACCAGCTTATACTATGATAAATATTAAAGAAGATTCCAAAATGATGATGTATTTGGAGACGGCATTAAAGAAATGGAATAAATGTACCAAACAAAATTTTGTAAGTATAAAAAAATGACATTTATTTCATTTTTAAACATTATTTTATCAATTATTTATTTATAATTGATAGGAACAAATTATTGAAGATCATGAACGATTGATAACACTTCATACATTAATAATCGCCGGTGAATATGCTCGTTTATATCGTTATGAGAAATGTGAAATCAATATATGGAAACTTGCATATAAATTAGCTTCAGTATTACAAGACGATCGAGCAATCATTTATGGTACAACCATATTTTTAAGTTCCACGAATAAAAAAATATAAAATATTGATTAAACCTTCCTTCATTATTAGTTACTGGTAGAAGCATATCGTTAAGGTACATCAACCCAAAATGGATTACAACAGTCACGGATCTCGCCAACAAATATAAAGAAACCAAGGATGAAAACATGATCTATGCAATTGCTGTTTTTTGGATAAGTTTATCAGATTTCTACTTTGAACGTGATATGGTTAGTTAATTATTCATAAACCATTAAAAATTATATGTACAAATATTTTATACAACCTTTTTTATTAGTATGAAGAAGCTAGAAAATTACTAGACGAATCCAGGAAACTACCAGGAGTCTGTTTCTTATCTAACATAGCTTTAAGTTTATACAGCTTAGACAGGCTTTTGTACAATTGTTCATTGTATAAAGAAGATATCAAACATGAGGAATACACACGTTATGTCGTTGAAACTTTGTATAGTCTGGTTAATTTAAATGAAGAATTATCTAAAAGGAAATGTAAGTGTCAACATCTTATGATTACCTATAATTTTTCAATTCATAAAATTAGTTTTTTACTAGGGAAACCTCAAGATAAGCATCTCTTTGATATCGACATATTTTTGTCTGCGACGATTAATTTGTCCCTACGATTAAACAGTTTACTATCATTTAGAGAAATTGGTTCTCATTTAGTACGACGGTTGAAGACAGCACAATCTTTGGGAGCCACTATGAGAGTCGCAGAAATATTGAAATCTCTCTGTTACATTGATTTGTCTCGTTCACAATTACATGATTGTGAAATAAAGCTACAGGGCCTGGAACACATCTTAAATATTGAAACGTTTGAAGCATCGATGAGTAGTAATCCGATAAAAGTGATCACAGAAAGTGCATTGACTCCGATTCGAGTCGTAGAGCCTATCAGAGATATTCCACGAAATGATACATCACCAGTTTTAAGAAACAAATGTTTCGATCTTCCTGTGTTCATGTGCCATCAGAATTGCAATTGTTATTTGTGTCAAAATTTATCATACAATTATTTAGTATTTGCGGGTACTCACATCAGAGCCCAGTTGTACGCACTGCAAAATAATTTCACAGCCGCATTAGAGCATTTTACAGGCGCGTTTAAGATAAAAGAGAGAATAATGAAAACAGAGAAATGTATGACTGAAAATGAAAGGGAACATTTCTCTTGGCAAGAACGTTTTTATAGTACAGATTATATTCTTCTATTAATCAACTTCTATTCCTATTTGAAAAATTATCTAAACATAGAGCAAGAAAGAAAAATGAATCTTCTCTCGTTGGCAATTGAGTTATGCGACAAGTACAAACTTAAAGGACATCCGGTTTATATGTCGGCAAAAGAATTAATTGCTGATTACAGTTTCCAAAACATAATTAATAGGCTGGACTATTCAAGTATGTATTTGCTGAATGTTGAAAACTACTGAATTCATGTGACTAACTATTATTTGTTACAGTGTTTACAGTCCCCGATGCTTCGGACATTGACACAACGAAGTACGAACTAAAAGTAAGAACTGAAGACGCCATTTGTGTTACTCCAATCATTAATAATTCTCAAATACAAAGACCTACTACTCTGAAACGAATTCGAAATCCTCCTTTTTTGAAACTTAGTAAAGTTAGTATGAACTTCAGTGATGATAGTGACGATGAAGACATTTCTTCACCGAAGTCTCAACATCGAGGAACAAGGTCTCGTAACAAATTAACGAAAAGAAAGATTTTTAATGAAGAAAATTCAGACAGTGTGAGTAAAACGAAAGAAGGAACAAATGAATCAAGATCTAGTTCGCAAAAGTTGAAGCAACAGAATGAAAATATTGACAACGTTTCTATGAAAGACGTTGTAAATAAAGCTACATCTTTGGTGCCCAACATTTCAGACTACTTGCATAATTTTGCGGACGAGTTAGAGGAGCCCGCGACTAATAGTAATATTCAAAAATTAATCAAGAAAATAGAAACACTTAAGATCAACGCAATGTCGCAAAAAGCAACTAGAAGTACGCGACGTTCGAAGCAGGTGATTTCAATCGACTCTACTAAGATCGATGAAATAATTGCATTATTTAAAGACTTGAAAACCGAGAAACGGAAGGATAACAATTGTTTAGTCAGTGAAATAATATCTGATCAAAGGAGAACAAGTGAGGGGGATAGCATAGAAATATTGGAGGAAATTAATACCGGCAAAAATACCAGAACAAGAATTACAAGAAAATCATCGAAACAAAATGTAATAACTAGGGAGGCACAATACAAAAGCTAGAAAATCTAAGTAGAAATGATTGTAATATTGCTAGTGCAATGTTATTGCCAAAACTGTATTTTTAATAAATAATTTAAAAGACTGTGTATAAAGAGAAAGAAGACTATGTATTTAGAGTAGTCTGTATAAGTATGAATTTTATAAAGAATTTCAGGAAGACAAAAGATCTAAGAAGGTTTTATATGTCAGATTGCCATAATTATTTGTTTATGACTTTAAAAAATAGATCGTCAAAGAGGCAAAAAATAAGTTTTCCACAATATATGCATTGCACATGATTAATTAATACTCGAAGTAGGAACCGTGAAAGCATAGAATATCAGAAAATATTTATTAAAATATTTCACATATATACATATTCAGTAAAAAATCGGGAGTTAAAATTACATAATGATTACAAATTAAGGTCGCCACTTTATTCTACCTATTATTTTCTTTATACCTACAACTATATTTTATAAATAATAACCGTATCTGTTCCAATTAAATACTTTACAAACTTTTAATATTTTTTGAAAACAAATTTTACTTGTTCATTTCTTTTGTTACCATTCTAAATATCACACAAATTTTTTATTGTTATATAGTATGGCCGATACTAATAAATAAATTTTTGCATTATTACCTGGAAAGACAAATGATTTATATGTACAGTAAATTCTCCCTGATTGACTCTAAGCTTGTACACAAAAATGGACAATTTGGGAAGAGGAGATACGATTGTTTGAGCCTTATGGCTCGTTTTTATAGTTATTTACTGTTAACAGCTATAAAAACGAGACACACCCGAATAATTGTCCAATAAACAAATTGTCCATTTAAATTAATTAGGGAGGATTTACTGTATAATGAATTTTCCAACTGCATATAATGAAAGCTAATTCCTAGAAAATTGTGTCATGTTTCGATCGAGATAGGTATCGATATCGTCATTTTCAATGTGTCATCATTATGAAAAATTAATGACAATTTAAATATTCAACAAAGTTCAATACATTTTTTTATAACGATTAGTACTGTTCATTACCAAAAAAAAATTACAAGCAATCATGAAATATTTTCGCATTACGAATCTTGGAAAATAGAATATTTGCGAAATATTAGGAAATAATGAGAATTTTCAAAGTTTTATACAATCGTTTTCAAAAGTGAACAATAATTAATAATGGAAATGATATTGATTATTAAAAAAAAAAATAATTCTCTGTATTTAACATATAGGTATAATAAATTGTAAAACGATAACGTAATTAGAAAGTGCTACAAAAAATGCTACATAATTGCTGTATAAAAAGAAAAGTACATGTAACTGTAATCAATGAATTTCCTTCCTTTGCTAATTAGATGACTAACTGCATTATGGCAATAAATGCATTTTATCTTTTTTTATCTCTGCCATACAAAAATAACACAAATGAGAATCATAATAGCCATTAATCACAGTCTATAAGTGGG